AAAAAAAAAAAAAAAACCAAAAAAATTCCTACTGTAGCATATACCTATCAAGACATTGTAATCCACCATTATCCTAATTAAATACCTCTCAAACACCAGACATTGGAAGCAACTAAAACATAACACCCCAAAATCATATCCATTTTCAACGAGACATACCTCATACATAGTTAAGACGATAGAAGCCAAAAAAGAGGAAATCATTTCCTTCTCTCACTTACTGTCGCTGAAATCTGCATCAATCACGTCCCCATCAGGGCCCTTGTCCGATGATTCTGAAGGCCCAGCATCATTGCCAGGTGTAGGGCCAGAAGCAGACGATGCACCTGGTTGGTTGTAGAGTGACTGCCCAAGCTGCATAACTTCCTGGCTAAGAACAGCCATGGCATCCTTTATGGCCTGTGTTGAGCCCCCTGAGATTGCATTCTTAAGCTCTCCAAGTTTTGCCTCAACCTTCTCTTTCACTGGCCCTGGAACCTTGTCTCCCAGTTCCTTCAGCTGCTTCTCTGTCTGGTAGACAACCGAATCCGCCTGGTTCTTGGTGTCTATGGCATCTCTTTTCTCCTTATCCTCCTTTGCAAATCTTTCCGCATCTTTAACCATCTTCTCTACCTGTTTATATACATTCAGACAAATTATCAGTATCAAGATGCAAGGAGTCGAGCCTGACCCGTGAGAAGTAAGTTATTTGTTTACTTCCAATCATTATTATCAAAATCGTATAATTTGCAATTCGATTCCATTTAGTCCTCATTCAATTCGTACCTTATTATACAATTGTTTTTGGCGGACAATCGCAAGAATCATACAATTCGATTCGAATTGAAGGAATCATATGATTCTTTTTACTATTATTTTTACCCCTATTTGTAGTAAAACACCGTCATTTTGCAAGATGAGGCCAAGCTCCAAATATAAAACTCACATCTATCTATATCTCCTGTTAGTGTCTCTGCCTTTCAAGCAACTATTCAAGCATCTGTGAACATCGCACAAAAACGAAGTCTCCTTCACTCTACGTATGCTTCTTCTTTTTCAAAAACAGCTACCAACCCCTAACATACCCTACTTCTTTTTCTTCTTTAATAAATGTTCTGTTTTTTATTTTCATCAAAAAAAAAAAAAAATTTAATCGATTGTGGGAAGTAACATGTTTGAAACAATATTGACTTTTCCTATTTTAGTTTAACTTCATTGGTAGGAAGATAATAACTATTTGTTGGTTAAAATCATGCATCTTTCATCATGGATATTTTGAAACAATTTATTATGTCTTAAGAAGTAATAGAAGTACAAACTTAAGTGTACGTAGTTAAAGATTCATAAAGGTTAGCATCTTTCCATTTAGACAACATGACCATTTCAATACTTGTCAGTTGATTATTTTTAAAATACAATGATGTTCAATATTTAATATATTACCTATTTTAAATATGTACATATTATTTTTTCTCATTGTTTGGATTTTGTGTCAAATCTTATGATCCTTGATTCAATATGATTCTTGATTCTCCAATCTAAGATTTTGATTCCCGATACGAATCTCGATTTGATAACTATGCTTCCAATGGAATTTTATTGAACTAGTGACTCAGAAATTTGGCTATCGACAAGCCATGAGTAATAGTTCTCGTCTCAGAGCAACCAGAAAGAAAGAGCAAAAGAATGATCATGTTTTGCGTAAAAAACCATCAGGAGCTGGCAAGATTAGTGCTACATGCATGTAATGGATTGTCAATGTGTATAGTCACAAAATGATCAGGTGAACATACCTCGTCACTAGGCAGTGTGCTTGCACCAGTAATGGTGATATCTTGTTTCTTCCCAGTGCCTTTATCAACAGCAGAGACTGACAGAATACCATTTGCATCAATATCGAATTTGACCTCAATTTGAGGAACTCCACGCGGGGCTGGTGGGATGCCATCCAGACGGAAACTGCCTAGAGATTTGTTGTCCCTAACAAATTCTCTCTCACCCTGAAGGACATTAATCTCTACACTTGTCTGTCCATCAGCAGCGGTTGAGAATACTTCTGACTTTGACGTGGGCAATGTTGTGTTTCTGGGGATGATCTTTGTCATAACCCCACCAAGCGTTTCCAGTCCCAGAGACAGCGGTGTCACATCCAAAAGGACAATGTCACTGACATCTCCAGACAAAACCCCAGCCTAAAAAAACAATCGAATGAATGTAAGATCTTCAGTGCACTGCCAAATGCAAGCAGAAGAATTTAACAACACAGAGTTATACCCACATATCAGGGAAGTGAAACTCGAAGCATGACACTAATATATCCTAGTTTTTCCATCAATTTGTTTCACCATCACTGCCGATCGTAGAGAATGAAAGATTTTGAAATAATATATAAAGCAGGAGAAGAGTAGTAGGATCCACCTGGACAGCAGCTCCGAGGGCAACAACTTCATCAGGATTGACAGTAACATTAGGGTCCTTTCCAGTCATTTTCTTAACAAGCTCCTGAACAGCAGGAATACGGGTTGATCCACCAACAAGGATCACTTCATCTATATCATTGAATGAGAGTTTTGCATCCCTTACGGCATTTTGAACTGGTGTTTTAAGCCTAAAGAGGGAGGAAGGAAAAAAACAAAACTTAGACACCAACAGCCTTCACAATAGTAGAAGGATCAATTGAAAACTAAACATAATAGCAGCCAGCTTTAAAAACCATTTCTGTTCCCAATGAAGACCATCACCAACAAGCAATAAAAGACCTATGCGATATCAATAATGCAACTACTTAGCACCTTGTCTTAGATTCTTTTAGGTACCTGTCTAGAAGATCTGAGCATAATTCCTCAAATTTTGCTCGGGTAAGAGTGGTTTCAATGTGCTTAGGGCCATCTGCAGTGGCTGTAATGAAAGGCAAACTGGGAAAGGACAGCAAAGTAATAATATTAATAAGGAAACATGCAGAGAGAAAGAATTATCAACATGATGCTCAAAGATAATACACACCTGATATTTGTCTGTGTCAAAGATGACAGTTCCATCTTAGCTTTCTCTGCTGTTTCAGTCAGACGTTGGAGAGCTTGTTTGTCCTTCAATAGATCAATGCCCTCATCTTTCTTGAAATTTACAGCAAGCCAATCAACAACTCTCTGCACAAAGTTCATAAAAGACCAATACCTTCAGCAATAACAAATCTTTATACTTTTGCTAGAGGGATAGAAAAAATTGTATGAACCTTATCAAAGTCATCACCACCCAGATGTGTATCTCCAGAAGTAGAAAGCACCTCGAACACCCCATCACCAACCTCAAGAACTGCAATAAGCAGGATATCAGCAAAAATATTGACAACTAGCTCCAAAACAGAAATTCAAGGGCAGTATTTTGTTTAAAGTAACACAATACAAACTTAAATCATCACAACTTCCAACCCGCAAACACATAATTCATTTAATACTTCAGATTGAATGGGTATAATAAAGAGTGAGTAATATGTAAAAGGATCACTATGTGGAAACAAACACCCAGTTATGGTAATAAAAACTAGTTTCACCCCACAGCTATCGCCTAAGAAACATGAATATAGACGCAGGGATACAACAAAATTCCAAAATATATGACACAATTACGGCAAAAATACGACTAATTAAAATAACATTATATATTTTTATATAAATAAAAATATTATTAATACAACTTAATAAATATTGAGCAATTATTGGTTAATATTTTATAATTGGGCAATGAGCTAATATTAAATTAGATAATGGGTTTAATTACTTAATGTTCTAATTGGGTGGGCTAATATGGAAAGTGGGTTGATTATTTAATCTATTTAAATGGAGAGAGAGAGAGAGAGAGAGATGCGTGACTAATAAAAAAAAAGGAAAAGCCGAAGTGATGTAAATCGTAATAGCTTTGATATCAAATTGATGTAGATCGTATTAGAGAAGAATTAGGGATGAGAAGGGAACAAGAAAGGGATGAGAAAAGAAGAAGAAGAAGGGGAATAGAAAGAGAATTTTAGAAAGAAGATTCAATATTAATATTCAATAATCAAAAATCAAAGTCTAGTCCCCCAACAAATATGTATCCCCTATATATAAGGAGATCACAAACCCTAAAATAAATAAATAATCAAAATGACAACTAAATCCTTAAAAGTTAAAAGAAATTACTTAAAAGCTAAATATTAAAATTATCATCACGAAGTCTCCGACTCACACAGACCTAGATCAGGGGGTTGCAGATTGGAGCTAGAGCGACAGATAACAAATCCAAATCAAACTGGGGTCAGACGGAGAAGAAGGAAAGAAGAAGAATAGGAAGAGTTCTTTGACATTCCTGTCAATACAAGTTTAGATCTATGGCTTTCAGATCCATGGCTTTCGTATTCGATTTTTTTTTTTTTATTTTCACTTGTGGAATTATTCAAGACATGTCCGGCCCTATCCCACACGTATCCCACACCGCCACATCAACCCCCGCCGTGCTTCCTGCGCTACTACTTTTCAAAACCAGACTAAGGGGGCAATCATTAGTAACTTTCTTGATGGAAGAATAACAGCAAATATCTAATTAATACGACTTTAACAGCACAAGACCAAATTAATGCATGGGGGAAATTGTGGGTGAAAAGTAAACAAGCTGAGCTGAGCCAGTATTGCTTAGGTTACCAAAAGCGTAAATAGCCAAATATCATAACCTGTGTAGCAAACACCAACATAAAATTATAAATTTAAGCAATTGAAAATCCAAATAAAGCAACCATATTACCATATGAGATCATTTCTAGGTCATACCAAACTCCTGGTGGGGGAAAAAAGGAGATGATGTTATTAAGAAGGAAGACAGTCCTGGTACCTGATACATCAAAAGTACCACCTCCAAGGTCAAAGACTAAGATGGTTTCGTTGTTCTTCTTTTCGAAACCATATGCAAGAGAGGCAGCAGTAGGTTCGTTGATAATTCGAAGAACTTCTAAGCCAGCAATGCGACCAGCATCCTTTGTTGCTGTCCTCTGAGAATCATTGAAGTATGCAGGAACTGTGACGACAGCTTTAGTGACTTTATCATTCAAAAACTTAGATGCATCATCCACAAGCTTTCGCAAGACCTAAAGAGCAAGAAAACGAAAATCAGTAGAGGCTATTGGATGACAAGGAGTTCAAATCCCAGAAACAAATAACTGTTCTTGAACTTCCCCAGCTACTGCTTTTCTCAATCAATCAAACATCTTATATCTAACTGATATTGTGAAAAGTAAGAAACCCATAATATTACTTAAACGAATAACTTCCAAGTAACACAAAAATTTATGCACTATCCATTCAAAGCATTACAAAATTCGAACCACAACATGATTACTGTAGCCACAAAACAATAAAAGTGATTGATTTATCAAAAAAAGCTAATAAAATACTAAGCCTACAAAAAATTCAGAAGCAAAAGTAAACAATATATATGCCCCCCAAACATATTTCTGTACACCAATTCAACAGGAAACAAACTGAATTTATACCTGCGCCGAAATTTCTTCAGCTGCGAATTGTTTTCCGATGGCCGGACAGTCAAGCTTGACATTCCCATTCTCATCTCGCACCACGTGGTATGACACCTGCTTTGATTCCTCATCCACCTCCGACATCTTCCGGCCAATGAACCTCTTCACCGAAAAGAAGGTGTTTTCAGGGTTCACCACGGCCTGCCTCTTCGCAATCTGCCCCACCAACCTGTCACCACTCTTCGTGTACGCCACCACCGACGGCGTCGTCCTCTGCCCCTCCGCATTAGTCACGATAGTCGGCTTACCTAAAATTCATTTATACATAGATTAAATTTTGAATTATACAATTTCTTGAATAAAAATGGCAGAGAAAAGGCAATATTTAATCACACATCTCTAGCTCTTTCTCTTTTTTAAACCCAAATTTAAATTTGGGTAAACAATTCCAAAAAACTTCTCCAATGCTATTCCCAAACCCATACCAAATCGAGCAAAACTCAATTTTTTACTCCCTTAGCATTTCCAATCCTTAACTTTTTGTAAAAAAATATTCTCCAATACTATACCCAAACATATACCAAATCAAAGAAGACTCAAAACCTTTACTCAAATTACCAATAGTTAAATTCTATTATCCTTTAAAGATTTAATAGTCATTCTATACAAATTTAAATTTGAATTTCTCTTTTTTAAATTTGGGTTTGTCTTCCTTTAAATTTGAGTTTCTCAATTGAAGATGCCTATACTAAATCAAACTTTTTACTTTTTTTTTCCTCAAATTTGGGTAACCGTTTGGGTTTCCATTGAAAATGATCTTCGTTCATTCTCCTTTCAAAATTTAATAGTCATATTCTCTTAAATTTAGGTTTATCCTTTTTTTAACTTGGAGTTTCCCAATTGGAGTGCTTTATATGAAATCAAACTTTTTACTCAATTTTTTGAGTCAACGTTAGAGATGCTCATGTGAATACATATGTATGTGTGTGTGAGAGATTAAGGGGGGGGGGGGGGGGGGAG